GACCCATGCCTTACTGTTTGCCCTCCACAGCACACACAAATTAGCCTTGAGGATATTCTTTTGCCTGAATGCTCTGGGAGTTTCTGAGTGATACACTAATAAAGGCTTCACTTTGCAATAAACCACTAGCATTGGAACACATCAACAGAGTAAGCCTGTCTTTCATAGGTTTATGTCCTGGGAGTCCCTTTCCTCCTCAGTAATGTAGGTCCTGCTTGGCATTTTCTTCCAAAACAGGCCTGTTTCATCACAATTAAACACTTGTTTAGGTTTCAGTTCTTCACTGTCTATGTACTCCTTGAATTCCTGCACATATTTTTCAGCTGCTTTGTGGTCCGAACTGGCAGCCTCACTATGCCTTATCACACTATGTATGCCACTACGCTTCTTAAATCTCTCAAACCAACCTTTGCTGGCCTTAAATTCACTCACATCATCACTAGTTGCAGGCATTTTTTTAATTAAATCCTCATGCAACTTCCTAGCCTTTTCACTTATGATCACTTGAGAGATGCTATCTCCTGCTATCTGTTTTTCATTTATCCACACCAATAAGAGTCTCTCAACATCTTCCATCACTTGCGATCTCTGTTTCGAAAACACAGTTGAACCTTTGGCAAGAACAGCTTCCTTGATTGCTGTTTTCTTGGACACAATAGTAGCGATGGTTGATTGGGGTTTACTATACAACCTGGCCAGCTCGGAGACACGCACTCCACTTTCATACTTAGCAATGATCTCTTTCTTCATCTCTATAATAATTCTCACCCTTATTCCTGTAGGGTTGGCACTAGAAGCTTTCTTGGGGCCCATGGTCACTTATTTTGCAGATAAAATCACCAAAAACACTGTAATAATACGAAATGTTCCGATTGTATGCTTGGATGCTACCGCGGAGGCTGGCTGGTAAACAATGCCACCGGCGGAACATGCGAGGCTGGCTCAGGCCGCACATTAGACGCGTCTCGGACGAATAGCGTTGAGCAGGTTTTTTAGCGGTATGCGAGGCAAAATCTTAGCGATAAAATGTATCGGTATGTGGATTTAACGTTATGTGATGCCAACGGTATGCGGGGGTCCACTGTACTTTTCATTGTAAAACCAGTCAAAATCATCTCAATTTCTGTAATATGTCTTCCATTCTATAAAATGAGACCAAGAAAACTAGAATACAACAACAAATGCCACATGAAAATACAGTGCAAAGTCGCTGTTTTATTCCAAAAACACGGTCAAAGTTTTTTTTTCTCATTATGCACTGTGTGCTGCAGGATTTTTTTTTTATACTGCGCACACTGACCACATAGACCCATTCTTTCATATGTATGCCTACCAGCTTTCTCCCACTAGATTTGAGGGCGCTAGAATTTAGGCGTACTAGTACGTCAAAAACCCTGGGTCGTAAGCCATACTAGTACGGCCGAAACCCTCAAAGGGTTAAAGGAGGGGTTTGGGATATTGGCAGTTTGGAGGGATACGTTACACAGTGGAACCCCGAGTTTCGGCCGCCCTGCGCATCGGCCACTTCGAGTTTCGACCATTTTTTTTTTTGGCTAAATTTTGTCCCGCGTTTTGGCCGTTGCCCCGTGTTTCGGCCAGCGTACCAGACCTGTCCACCTGCCTGTACCTGCGCACCTCCCCAAGCAGGCGTCATGAGCCAGTCTAGCTTTGTTTATCCTTGAGTGAACATTACCCTGCGCACTCATCCAAAAATTTCACAATAAATTCATTGTGTTTAGTACTTGTTTATTGATTGTGACTGTGAAATAAGCCACCATGGGCCCAAAGAAACTTCACAGTGGCAGTAAGGCAGTGGTTAAGGCAGTGGCTGAGGCAGTGGTTGAGCCAGTGGTGGAGGCAGTGGTTGAGCCAGTGGTGAAGGCAGTGGTTGAGCTAGTGGTGGAGGCAATAATAAGTCCTCTCTCTCTCCTCCTCCCTTTCTTCCAGATGCCAACATGAGTCTTCAATAATGGTATGTAAATGTGATTTTAAATGTTTATTTAAATGTTTATTTTTAAACTATAGTTATTCTTTAAAAAATTTATTTTTTTGTGAATATTTTTGTGGGTCTGGAACGGATTAATTGTATTTACATTATTTCTTATGGGAAATACTGCTTTGACTTTCGGCTGTTTCGAGTTTAGGCCTAGCTCCTGGAACGTATTATGGCCGAAACTCGGGGTTTCACTGTTTTTCAGAGATTTTTATCTTTGTATGTATATGCTTCTAAACTGTTGTATCTGGGTGCCTCTGCAAAAACAGTGATTATGTATGAATGAGGTGAAAGTGTTGAATGAAGATGAAAGTACTTTCTTTTTGGGGATTTTCATTCTTTTTGGGTCACCCTGCCTCAGTGGGAGACGGCTGACTTGTTGAAAAAAATAAAATTTATTACGTGTACTTATTACCAAACCTCTTTCTATACATAGCTCAATTAAAGGCTCCCCATTTTCATTTACCCTTGGTACCCCAAATTTACCTACTACTCCCACCAAAACATTTTTACCCACTTTAGCATTGAGATCCCAAACCACAAGTACTCTCTCACTTGGTTCAAAATTCCCGATGCACTCACGTACTCATTCCCAAAATCTCTCTCTCTTCTCTACACTTCTCTCTTCTCCAGGTGCATAAACACTTACTATAACCCACTTTTCATATCCAACCCTTATTTTACTCCACATAATCCTTGAATTTATACATTTATAGTCCCTCTTTTCCTGCCATAACTTATCCTTCAACATTATTGCTACTCCTTCTTTAGCTCTAACTCTATTTGAAACCCCTGACCTAATCCCATTTATTTCTCCCCACTGAAACTCTCCTATCCCCTTCAGCTTTGTTTCATTTAAAGCCAGAACAGCCAGCTTCTTTTCGTTCATATCATCCACAATCAACTCTTATAATTTGCACAACATCCACGCACATTCAAACATTCCACTTTGACGGTTTTCTTCTTTTTCTTTTTAGTAAGCTATACGGGAAAAGGGGTTACTATCCCATTGGTCCCGCCATTTTGGTTGACTTTTACAACACTCAGGGCTCTCAAAGGAAAGACTTATTCCATTTCCCCATGGATATGAAATGAAAAGCAATAAAAATAAGAACTATTAAGATAAAATCAAAGAAAACTCAGATGAGTGTGTATACATAAACATGTCCATGCATGTGTAGTGTGACCTAAGTGTAAGTAGAAGTAGCAAGATGTACCTGAAATCTTGCATGTTTATATAAAGAGACAGAAAAAAGACACCAGCAATCCTACTATCATGTAAAACAAAATAAAGGCTTCCTCTTTACACTCACTTGGTAGAATGGTAGTACCTCCTTGAGTGGTTGCTGTCTACCAACTTACTACAGTGGACCCTTGGGTAACGATGCCATCGGATAGTGATAAAATCGGATATCGATGCATCTTTGACTAAAAATACTGGCTCAGCCAATGATGAAAATTCAGTTAAGGACATTCATTCCGAACGTGTCCGCCTGTCCGCCCGGCCTAAGCGCCTGAGCCGCCCTGCCTTCAGTTAGTGTGCCATTGTTTACAAGCCAGTGCGGATGGTTCCACACATACATGCGATACATTTTGTATTATTCCATTGTTTTTAGTGCTTTTAACTGCTAAATAAGCCACCATAGGCCCAAAGAAAGCTTCTAGTGCCAGCCCTGTGGTAAAGAGGGTAAGAAATACTACTGAACTGAAGAAAGAGAGCATCACAAAATACGAAGTGGAGTGTGTGTCTCCGAGTTGGCCAAGTTATATAACAAACCCCATTCATCCATTGCTATTATCTTGGCCAAGGAAAAGGCAATCAAGGAAGCTGTTGTTGCGAATGGTGCAATATGCTTACAAAACAGAGATAGCTGCACCCCCATGAGCTACTGCTGCACCACTATCAACTGCTGCTGTATCATGGTCAGCTGTTGCTGCACCACCGTCAGCTGCTGCTGCACCACCGTCAGCTGCTGCTGTACCATGTTCAGCTGCTGGTGCACCACTGTCAGCTGCTGCTGCACCACCATCAGCTGCTGCTGCACCTCCATCAGCTGCTGCCGCACCACCGTCAGCTGCTGCCGCACCACTGTCTGCTGCTGCACCACCGTCAGCTGTACTACTCGAAGACGTGGAGAGATTGTTGTTGGTGTGGCTAAACGAGAAACAATTACCAAGAAGCAATGAACCCCAGAGGGTTTGCCACCCAGGATAACCCAAGAAAGTAGTGTCATCGAGGACTATCTAACTTATTTCCATTGGGGGTCCTTCATCTTGTCCCCCAGGATGCGACCCACCCCAGTCGACTAACACCCAGGTGAACAGGAAAAAAGGCCTGGAAGTAGTGCTCATATTGGTGAATTTAAGGCCAGCAAAGGTTGGTTTGAGAGATTTAAGAATCGTAGTGGCATACACAGTGTGATAAGACATGGTGAAGCTGAAAAAGTCCAACCCCAACAAGTGTTTAATTGTGACAAAACAGACCTGTTCTGGAAGAAAATGCCAAACAGAACCTACATTACTCAGGAGGAAAAGGCACTCCCAGGACACAAGCCTATGAAAGACAGGCTAACTCTCATGTTTTATTGTAATGCTAGTGGGGATTGCAAGGTGAAGCCTTTACTCATGCATCACTTTGAAAATCCCAGTGTTCAAGAAAAACAGTGTCTCATCACTCATCAATGCTCTTCAATAAAGGTAAGTGTCATTTTAGTATTTATTTATGTATTTGTTGTGCATGTGTCATTGTTTTCTGTGTAGGGAAATGTATATTTCATGTAAAAAAAATTATTTTTTTTAATGTTTCTGGGTGTCTGGAACAGAATAATTGGATTTCCATTATTTCTTATGGGGAAATTAATTCAGCTAACGATAAAATCGGTTAAGGACAAGCTCTCTGGAACAGATTAAAATCATTACCCAAGGGTCCACTGTACTATAAATTATATTAATAAGTAACTAAAAACAATGAACTTAAAAGACTTGACAACCAAAGCTTTCTACCAACCTGGACATACAAGATGAATAAGATGATTATTTCCTCTGGCTAACCAGTCTTCAACAAGATCACCAATAGCAGAAGAACTTTCTTCTCTTGTCGGAAAATGTAAGATGTCCCGATGGCAAAAGGTTGTATCTATATGTAAAGAATCTACAGTTTTAACAGTTCCATCAGTGTTGTGCAGTGCACGTATCCGTTCAACATCGCCGACACTGGTGCGGAAGTCTCCTGTGTAGAGTACTGTTCCTCCTCTTCCTTCAAAAAGAAACCTGAAAAAAATCATTATTACACTGTATCATGCATTGCACAATATCTTTGGCGTAAAGATAAAAAAAAATACAGTTAGCATTACAGTACAGTACAGCCTCTCCTCACTTAACCCCTCCAGGGTCCAAGGCCAAAATCTGAAGTGGTGCCCCAGTGTCCAAGAATTTTCAAAAAAAAAAAAAAAAAAAAAAAAATTGTTATTTTTTCTCATGAAATGGTAGAGAATCTTTTTGTGAAGGTAATAAAACAAAAAGTACAGAATTTGATGGAAAATTGACGAAATTATGCTCTTTCTAATTTTGATGTGTCAGTGATATTTTGCCGACTTTGACTCCCATTTTAGGCCAATTACATTATTCCAGTCGACCAAATTCTTAGCTATTTCACTAGTATTATACTTCTATTCTATCGATTGAGCACAAGAAATCGCCAAGTCAACTGTTTCAACTGCAAAATAAAATGATCGGAAATTGGTAATTTGGCCAATTTAACACAAAGTTCAAAATATTCCAATTTCAAAATAGGGTCCAGAATAAACAATGTAGGTATTCCTGGAACTAAACTAACATTTCCTCTGATCATTAGTTATGTTCTGAGGCTTTACAAATAAATTCCATTTTGATTTTTTATTCACAATGAATTTTTATTCACACCAAAAAATAGAAGATTTACTGTTATGCAATATTGTAATAATTGTATAAATACCATCACCACATTTGTGAATGTATATTAGACCCACCAGCTGGCTTGTATTAGATGTGTGAGGTCGTTTGTTTACTCTTGAACATCGGCAAAAATTTAACATTTCCGCTACTTTGAGCTCAGTTTCAAGCCATTTCCATTGCTAAAACCTATAAAAATCATCTCTATTTCTGTAATATGTCTTCCATCCTATCAAATGAGACCAAGAAATCACAAATACAACTATAAAAAACATACAAAAAACACTGCAAAGTCGCTGTTTTAATAAAAAATCATGGTCTCAGTTTTTTTATCTCATTATACACAGTGTGCTGCAGGATTTGTTTTATGTGGTGTACACATACCACATAGATGTATTCTCTCATATCTAGGCCCAAATGTGCCACTCACAGTTTATCAGAGTGAGCTGAGCTCATGGCGTAGATCTACGGTTTGGACCCTGAACGTAAAGCCGTAGATCTACGGGACGGACCCTGAAAGGGTTAACGATGGACTTCCATTCCTAAGACCACGCTGGTAAACGAATTCATTGCTAAGCAAGGAGCATACTACACCCACCATCCAACTTACGACCTATGCAACATACGACCACTTGACTTACGACCGTGCATCTGGCACCCTGCTGCCAGACGCACAGTCAAGGGCAACAGTATAATGTGATCCATTATTGACAACATTTCACTCACACAACTAGAGGTAGTAGTAGCAGTTATACATGTGGTATAAAAGTCAGCTGGTACATGAGAAAGAAAGGTATGTACATCTACATGGATGGATAGATTTGAGAAGGCATGTTTCAGTGTCCCTTCTCTATTACATAAGAACATAAGAAAGGAGGAACACTGCAGCAGGCTTTTTGGCCCAAACTGTTCATGTCCTTTGTATAGTAGCAATTATGAGATGGCATGGTTACTGTTTTCAGGAGGATTCTCGCTAAGACTTCAGAGATGATGAAGCTGCCTTTGTTTTGTTTGTGTTAGAAACAGTGATTATTGCTGAAGAAGAGTCCAATGACAACTTACCTTTTCTAGATGTCCTCATTCACAAAGTAGATAACAATCTAAGATTTCAAGTTTACCGAAAGCCTACAAATAAAAATGATATCACACACTTCTTAATGTTTATCAAGAATGCTTCCCCACCTCCTCCCACCCCTACCCATTCAGAGCAAGAAAGCGTAGACGATCGCCAACCAAGCACTAGTGGGCTGTAAATGTGTCCCAATCTTTATTTGCATTTCGTTTATATTTCATTATTTTGTACTTTTTTCTTCATGCAGTTTCTTACATTCGACGGGAATTCTAATGCATTGTTTTGTATGCAAATGTTCTCGGAAATAAACAATTGTTTGTCTTGTGTACAGTGTTTCTCCTATATCTTACAGTATAAAATACAGTACTAACAGCATAAAAAGTACAGTAAAAAATGAAATACAAAAATAATAAAATAAAATCATTACAATAACTGTGATGTTGATATACAGGAACCTTCTGGGTAGATATGCTGATACAAGCAAGAGAGAGCAGCCGACAAAATGTTCTATTCTTACGCTAATATCAACAATAAGGCTTATTTACCTATCACAATTGATCTCTTATGACATAAGGCGAAATATCAATAGCATAGAAACAAAAAAAATATGCCAAAATAAATATTATCTAGCACAATATGAAGGCCTGCTGTGCAGATAGGAGAGGCAATTTGTGGACATAACCAACAATAAGGTTTATTATCCCTTCTTTCATCACTCTTATGAGAGAAAATGAAACACCAAAAAAAAAAAAAAAAAAAAAAAAAAAAGATTTTTTCAGGAAAAAATATATTCCAAGTACTCTGGCATGCGCATGCTTTCGGCTTTTATCTTGGAAGTAATTTATTCACCTATTTTGTGAAAACTAATCAATAATAATGAACGGACTGAAGTGATTTCCACAACAAACATAAAAGAATCATTGCTTTACAAGATTAACCCTTTCAGGGTCTGTGCCATAGTTCTACGGCTTTGAGTTCAGGGTCCAAACCGTAGATCTATGCCATGAGCTCAGCTCACTGTGATAAGCTGTGAGCGGTAAATTTAGGCCTAGATATGAGAGAATACATCTATGTGGTATGTGTGCACCACATAAAACAAATCTTGCAGCACACAGTGCATAATGAGAGAAAAAAACTGAGACTGTAATTTTCGATTAAAACAGCGACATTGCAATGTTTTTCATATGTTTACATAGTTGCATTTGCAATTTCTTGGTCTCATTTGATAGAATGGAAGATATATTACAGAAATAGAGATGATTTTGATTGGTTTTAGTACTGGAAATGGCTTGAAACTGAGCTCAAAGTAGCAGAAATGTTAAATTTTTGCCGATGTTCAAGAGTAAACAAATGACCTCGCACATCTAATACACGCCTGCTGGTGGATCTAATATACATTCACAAATGTGGTGATATTATTTATACAATTATTACAATATTGCATAACAATGAAATCTTTTATTTTTTGGTTTGAATAAAAATTCATTATGTGAATAAAAAATCAAAATGGAATTCATTTGTAAAGCCTGAAAACATAACTAATGAACAGAGGAAATGTTAGTTTAGTGCCCGGAATCCCTGCATTGTTTATTCTGGACCCTATTTTGAAATTGGAATATTTTGAACTTTGTGTTAAATTGGCCAAATTACCAATTTCCGATCATTTTATTTTGTAGTTGAAACAGTTGACTTGACGATTTCTTGTGCTCAATCGAAAGAAGTAATACTAGTGAAATAGCTAAGAATTTGGTTGACTGGAATAATGTAACTGGCCTAAAATGGGAGTCAATGTCGGCAAAATATCACTGAAACATCAAAATTCACAAGAGCATAATTTCATCAATTTTCCATTAAATTTCATACTTTTTGTTTTATTACCTTCAGAAAAAGATTCTCTACCATTTCATAAGAAAAAATAGCAAAATTTTTTTTTGAAAATTCTTGGACCTTGGTGCACACTTTGAAATTTGGCCTCTGGACCCTAAAAGGGTTACGGTTTAATTTTTGAAGTACAGTAGGGCCCCACTTATATGGCAGGTTAGGTTCCAGGCTACTGCTGGAAAGCAGACACTGCCAGAAAGCATAACGCCATTTTTTCCACTTATAAATGCAAATAAATGGCAGGTAACAAGTTTACACTAACATATATGTATTACATTAGCAACAGAACTAGGCATTAACCCCTTGAATGTCGCAACCCCCAATCCTGAGGTGTCTCCTGGTGTCGCAAAATTCCCCCCCCCCCACAAAAATTTATTTTTTCTCTCATGAAATGATAGAGAATCTTTTCCTGATTGTAATGATACCAAAAGAACGAAATTTGATGGAAAACTGACGGAATTACGCTCTCACGAAGTTAGCGCCCCTCTTATATTACTCATGCTTTCTATTTTGATTTTTTTTCCACACAAAAAATACAAGATTTACTGTTATACAGACTACTGCATTATTGTAAAAATGGTATATATAACAGTGCAATACTGAAAGAATATTAGACTCCCCAGTTGATGTATATCAAACTTGTGGTGTGATTTGCTTACTATAGAACATTGGTAAATATCGAACATTTCTGCTACTTTGAGCTCAATTTCAAGGTTGTTTTCATCGTGAAACTAATCAAAATCACCTCTATTTCTGTAAGATGTTTTCCATTCTATCAAATGAGACCAAGAAAATGAGAATACAACCATAAATACTATACGAAAATACACCTTAAAGTTGGCGTTTTAATCCATACACACGGTCGGGGTTTTTTTTTTCTCATTATGCACTGTGTGCTGCAGGGTTTTTTTTATACAGTGCACAGTGACCACACTGACCCATTCTCTCACATGTGGGCCTACCAGCTTTCTCCTGCTTGATTTGAAGCAGCTAGAATTATTGAGTATATATATGTCCAAAACACTGGCTCGTATGGCGCATATATATGACCGAAACAGTCAAAGGGTTAATGTAGGGTAAGAGGCGAGTTTTATTTGTAGGAAGTCAGGTTGGGATAGATAGCCAGGAAGAGCAGCCAATTTAACACAAAGTTCAAAATATTCCAGTTTCAAAATAGGGTCCAGAATAAACAATACAGACATTCCTGGCACTAAACTAACATTTCCTCTGTTCATTAGTTATGTTTTCTGGCTTTACAAATGAATTCCATTTTGATTTTTTATTCACATAATGAATTTTTATTCAAACCATAAAATAGAAGATTTACTGTTATGCAATATTGTAATAATTGTATAAATATCACCACCACACTTGTGAATGTATATTA